TAAACTCTATTTCATCATTGCTCTGGGGAAAAAATTTATGTTAAATAAAATATTATAGAAAACATAGAATAAATGCTAGAATATTTTTAAAATAAGACTTTTCATGTGGGCTAATAGAATTCTTAAATAAAGGGGAATTCGGGACATAGATCTGTCCTCTTAGCTAGGTCGTTTAGAGTACATTATGGAATTGTGCTGAATTAAGAATAAAAGAAAAGTGAGAGTCCTCCATTCATCTTCTGAGTCAGGGGCATCCCTTGTGAGCCACTGTCTCTCTAGACATCCATGGAAGGGTCTGTGTCCACCACAAGGCTACTTTCATCTTTTTCTTAATTTTTACTATTGGCTTGCTGATGACTACTACAGCAATTCCTTAATTCTCTCTGTATAACCAGCTTTCAAGTATATTCAAATATATTTCATGCCTACTCAGGAAGAGTTAAAATGACATGTAAGAAATATATTAAGAAGCTAAATATCAGATTGAGTGAATTTTTCAATGTATTTTAAAATATTCTTATGAGACCTAAGTGGCTATATTATAAATGTGTATTGGTTGTATGTACACCTGTCAATATGTGTATGGATTGGTACAGACCCTTTTAGAGAGATGTGATTGGCTCTCATTTACCCACACAGATATTATGAAGTTTAGTGTCTTTTATCCCAAACTCACTTCTCCCTGCTTTTTACCACATCCTGGGTCTCCCTATGTGGGGCTCTGCGACTTCTCTATTGACTCTTCCTGTGTTTGTGTCAAAGTTTATTCTCTTCCCCAAGCAACTTCTGTACTTGGTAACCTTGAGTGTAGTTGGGGAGTTTGTTCACGTCACATCAAAATCTCTAACATTGTTTGTTGAACCTCATGGGGAGTTTTTATAGAAGGAAAGTGGGTTAGGACTAAATAATACCAGTTACAGATCAGAGTGACCTTCTCCAGAAGGTCTAAGGATGACAGAACTAGAATAACCAGATCTTTTGAAGGAAGCTTTGGCCTATTCTATGCACAAGACTCCTTTAAGGGAACAAAACCAAGGTAGGTTCATTAGTAGGTCAATAGTCTATTAGGACAGCTCTGAAGAATACACAGTAGAAGGAAGAGGTAATAGGTACAAGTTAGGTTGGCTACAAACAAGACTCAAAGCTTATCACAGCATCTTCAGCCTTGGCAATCTTCTGATAGTATTCCTAAAGAAAGTAATTGAACTGGTAACTTCCATAGGTTTTAAGATTGATTTTTTTTTTAAGTTTCTTATGTAGCATCTCTCTAAGCATAATGTTATCATGGTTGTCATTTTTCATTGCCAACATTTGACAAATCCTGATTTCATAAAATTCAGTGGTAAAGAATACAGATATCTTTTCACAGGTCTTTGAATTATTTTACTTAAAATGTGAAGCTCAGGAAAGGACCGACCTGTACAGCTAGGATTAGCTTCCTCCAGGGGAGAAAGAACATGATTTCACAGGCATTGTTTTGGGATAAAGCCACAGCGAGAATACACCCAAGTGGGAAAATCCAAAGTTCTCTCAGAACTACTGATCTTATCATTTCAGTCAAGGTTCAGACTCCTATGTATAACCTAATTCGCCTTTTCTTTATTGGACCCTGGATTGCTATTGAGTTTTCTGTTAGCCCTCTGAGTGAACATCCCTAAAAAACTGTTTTCATACTGATTTCACAGGATGTCGAGTTGATACACCGTAGCAAGAAAGTCACTCATTTCAGCAAATGGCTTTTACCAGTGGAGAGCCTAAGAGCCAATTGTCATAAAAATAATACAGAATGATGAGGGTTAGACCCAGGGTTGAAGCTCAGGCTCCTGCTTCTGTTCACCTTCCTCCCCTTCAGGATATTTCTGCATCCTGCTGCCTCTGATTTTGTGTGCTGTCGTTGGAAGAAGTCGCTGCCTTCACTGAATGAAAAGTAGTTACCATTTACTGAGTGGCCGCTATATTTTTTTTTCCTTTTTTTTTT